TAATGTTGTTTTCTTGTGCTGTAGTTAAAACACAGTTTTCCTAGTCTTTATTGTGGGAATGCTTCTACTGTTTCTTAGATGTTTTCAGTGTCACTGGAATATCCGTTTATTGCTTAAACTCTCCATTTAGAGTCTTTGAAATAGATGACCAGTATGGTTGCCAAGACTACTGAAATCTGCTGGTTTTACAGGAAAGGTATTACTGTAAGCTCACAGGAAGATTGCAGAATTGCATAAGAAACAATAAAATTGAAATTAATACAGTTTCTTGCATCATGTATATTTAAATCTCAATGTAACCTTAATTTTCCAGTATGCAAGAGAGTGGGAGCTAGGGTATTTTAGACTCTGCAGTCTGCTTCTGACAGGCCCAAATACCAAAGTCACATAGTTGCAAAATTGCTAATAAAGTGACATAGAAAATACTTTGTTTTAAATATACACTTGTCGTGGTTTAAACACAGTCAGGTAATTCGTTTGCTCACTTCCCCCTTTCTTGCCCTCCCCCTGCTCTCGGAGGGACGGAGAGGAGAATCGAAAAGAATGCAACTCCCACGGGTTGAGATAAGAACAGTTTAGTAACTAAGGTATAACACAAATCACTACTGCTACCACCAGTGATAATAATGATAAAGGAAATAACAAGGGAAGAGAATACATCATCTCACCACCAGCCGACCGATAACTCGCCCCCGCAGCCCGACCAAGCTCTGACCGATACCTCCTCCAGCCCCTGCAGACCCCCAGCCCTCCCGGCTAACTCCCAGTTACCTCCTGGGCATGACGTGCTGTGGTATGGAATACCTCTTTGGTCAGTTTGGGTCAGGTGTCCTGTTTCTGCTTCCTCCCAGCTCCCCCTCCTCCCTGGCAGAGCATGAGGCTCACAAAGTCCTTGGGCAAACCAAAATATCCTTGTTACCAGCTCTGTTCCCGAGCTGAAAGTCAAAACACTGCACTGCACCAGCTACCAAGAAGGGGAAAAATGACTGCTACTGCTGAACCCAGGACAACACTAATGGCTTATTTTGCTTAATACTAGTTTTATTGCTTGGAGGTGCAAAGCAAAGATAAGAGAAATAGCCATGTCTGTTAAATGAGCTTACTTTTGTCACATCGGCTTGAATCCTGTGTTGCAATCTAACATTCAGTGATGGTCAAAGTGGTGTAATCTGCTGAGAACTGACAGAGTATCTCACACCCTTCCCTTCCACTTTTCCTGTGGAAGACCATGAGTAAACTCTTAAATGAAGAAATTTATTTAATTAGGATTAATTCAATAACTGTTAAAGATTTCCTTGTTGAAGGTGAAAGGTGTTTTAAGTAGCAGTGATGTTACCAGATCTGCTCTTTGAGGCTGGATCACCTGAGTTTAGGTTGTTCTTTATTTGTTCATGTGTGTACATGTACATTTGTTCATTATTGTACATTGTGTAGGTTATGTAAAGAATTAAACTGATACCTGCAGTTATTCCAGCTTTGGAATAGTGCGTATTTGCTGTAATATGACAATGCTTTTCCCATTCTTTTATACCATCCTATTAAATATAACATAGGAACAAAATTATATTATCTGTGCAAAGATCAGTACAAAATTAAGAACTTGCCCTAGGAAACAATTATTTGTGAAGTGCCCTGTCAGTGCATTACACCAGCAGGAATTTGTCAGATTCCTTATATAGGTTCCAACCCCCAGCTGTGAAGCCTGTAATAGAAAACCTCGTATTTAGTGTATTTATTTCTTTGAGATTCTTGCTCAGGCATCTTGTATCTCGCCTGGTAGTGAAGAAGTAGAAATCCCCTGCTGTAGTAAAAAGAGCCTTGTAGTTTGGACTCTTCCTGCTCAGGAAGTTCCTGACTGGTGGAAATAATACAAGTTTATGGGAGATAAATTCTGGTATGTCCTTAGAAAATCTGACCTGCAACCTATTCCCTAAAAGAGCGAGTGAGAAAATATGGCAGCTATGCTTTCTTTAACTATTCTTAATCAAAATCTTATGTTGCACATTATGGACTTGTATCAGAGAAAAACATTGGTTAACCAAACAGTAAATGAACTAGAAGGGGAGAAGTGTAGGAGGGAGGCGTTTTTAGCTGGTTTTGGCCCTCTGAGGTCTACTTTAAGGCATAGCCAGCTTTGTTCCAATATTTCAAAGGTTAGCACACAGAAGGTAGCTGTGAGGATGCACTACCTCAGATAAATGTAGAGACATGGCTTGGAAGTGCAGGGTGAAGACAGGAAAGCCAAAGCTCAGAAGTGGTGTGATTAGCTGTGAAAGGTATAGAGCACTGTGGTCCTGAAACTACAACCTGTTGCATTCTCTTTCTCCTGTCTTACTGCCCTGATTCTGAGTTTGTTGTGCAGGGTTTCCCCCCACTCCCATTTGTTAAAGCACTAGGGGGAGCTGGAAAAGATAGCCTTGCAGACAAAGAAGTGAAATGGAAAATGTTACCTCTGAACCTGTTTGTGGTTTAGTCGGTTTGCCAAAAAACCTGTTTCCACCCTGATTGTGTGGGAGGGGAAACCCATTACAGATTTTCATTTCTCTGTTGAGTTGCTATGGTACAGCCACTGTTCCTTTTGCAATGTAATTTGGCATTCACTGTCTTTGGTGCCTAGATAAAACCATTACTGTGGTGCTATTATTTTTTTTCCTTCTCTGAGAGCTTACTTTCTGGTGACTTCTTAAATATTCATTACGTGCTTGTTTTGTTGCATAGGAGTTGATACATTAGTTCATCTTAACTGATGCCCTTGACGTTAGAAGATAAATAGCAAAGTAGAGATAGGTGACAAGGATTGATTAGTAGTGCAGCTTCTAAACCAGAACATAAACACTTATAGATAAGCCAAGCCTGTAAAATGCACCTTAGTGGAATTAACAACACGTTTTGAGGTGCAGGAGTTTTCTGTGCCTGCCAAGATACAAATCTTCATTTGATGCTTCTTCTTGAAGGTTTATGTTCACCAGTGGTTTATTTCTCAGAAAATGAGTTTCCAAGTTTTGAAGGAAGAATCACATTCCATTAAAACAAAGTAGTCACTCTTTACAAGACTGCAAATTATAATTTGGGCAGTGAAAGGTACTTTTGTTAAACTGAGCTTGAACAAATGTAATTGTACACTTGCAGAAGTTTTACTTAATACTTTGCTGCAAACTTGGTGGGCTGTTTCAGATAATGATCCTTCAGTCTAGTGAGTGGTGAGGAAAGGGTAAAATAGGGACTGATGTGCCCTGTTCCTTGTGAGAGACATCTGAAACTAGATGTTCAAAACCCAAGCTGAATTAAATACTGTTTTACTGGCAGCTGAATGGTGGAATTTTCTGCCAGAGGATATTCAATCTCCTAAAAACACATGGATACAACAAACAATTAGACAAATTTGGTGTACACAAAAGAACTGCAGGCACCTCAGTCTTGGGGAGTCATAAATTGCTGGGAGACAATGCCAAAGAAATACTGTAAGCTGACTGTATTCTGTATTAGGCATCTGCTCATGTTAGTTCTTGAGAGGTGGCATAGTTGGTCTGTTGGACCACTGGTAGGACCAAGAGTGGTTGTCACACTGTAAAACCTGAAAATAAGGTTATTTCTGTTTGTGTGATCAAACCTGGAACAGTCTGTCCCCTGCCATGCCACCCAACATTGCAGGTCACTGGCAGTCGTCCCTGCTGCTCTCTTAAAAACTGTGCAAGCTGGCACTGTCATCAGAAATTGTTGCACACCCTGTCCCCAACTGCTAGGTCCTGCTCTCCACCACCTGCAGCATTAAGAGCAAAGGGAAGAACAGTACAAGAACAAGCAGCAGAACCACCTCTTCCAGTTGCAGTCTCAGCTCAAAGGTCTTGTTTGTAGAGTTTGGCAAAGATGTCAGAACATCTTTCCAAAAATCACATGCATTCTTTTGTAGTCAGTGACTTTTTGGGACAGCAACACACTAAGTGACACGCTGCGTGACTACAGTTACCTGGGCTGCTGAGGATGTTGGGGGTTGTACTATGAGTGGTGCCCCATAAGCCTCAGCTTGTTGCTTTTTGGCTGAAGCGCTGTATGCAGACCATTTCTTCATTCATCTCTAGACTATTGTATGGGTATTTTGACTCAATTAAGGAAAATGCATAAATGCATTTAAAAATTGGTGAAGGTTAAATTTTACTGTCAAATGGAAATGATTTCCTGATGAGCAGTCTCTGATACCCTAGCCTTACAAAGAAGGATTTGACTGAGCTTTATACTTCTGCTGTCCAAGCCTTTCGGATGATTTCTTATGTTCTTGCCTTATCTCTGTAACTGGGGGGTGAAAAATTCAAAACCCCCCAAATCCTCCTCGGATTATATGGATATTGTGAGTACAGCATGTATATACTAGCTGTTAGCACATGCTTACTAAGAAATGCAGGATGTTATACCTAAGTGTTTCATTGTGCAGTCTGTGAGTCTTTAACAGCTCTGTGCTGGAAAAGGATACTGTTACCCAGGCTTTACAGAAAAGAAGGTCACAGAAAACTGGGTTGTCCAAGTTTCTGAAACAATTTAGGAAGGGAACTCAGGTTGTACTTCTCGGCCTAAGCAGCCTGTCTAGTGTGCTTCTGCATCTTTGAAGCTGTTCTGCTCTTGCACATCTCTGTTTCCTTATCTCTTTACAAAAACGGAAGGAGAGAATGGAAGCATGGGAAAATGTGTACCTGCAAACCTAAGGAAGGAAGGAGGATTTGGTAGCTTTCATGTAGATGCACCATAGCTGATTGTCTCCCTAAACAAATCACAGGGTTATCACAATCTATGTTTATACAGTAGAAATAACCCATAATTCAGGCATGCAAAAAAGAACAGAAGTTACTGTCCCAAATGATACAAACAGTCCTTTCTCCTGTGACCTCATCCCACTTTCATTTTCCTGGTACATTGTGTGCCAGTTCTCTCTGGGTGTGCTGGAGGTGGGTGGTGGGTTTTGTACATATTACTTTTAAAATTAATTATCTACAAAATTTCTCTTTCAGTTGTGTATGAGCACAGGTCAAGATTAGAAAAGTCATTACAAAAGGAAAGGCTTGAACATAAGAAAGCAAAAGAAGGTAAGGATGTGCTTTTCACTTTAACGTTTAAGATCACTTGATTATTTTAGAAAGTAACTTCAGATGGATTTTGTTTGATTTTAAATAAGTTTTCAACGTGCTACACATTAGCAGGACCACCTTGGCAGAGCTGTGGTGATCTTTTTAGTAAATCTCTGTTTGCTTAGTTAATCCAATCTTTTTAAAAAGTAATAATCTTTTTAGTACTTTTTGCAGATCCCTGCAACATAGCATAGTATACACAGAGAATGTGTGTATATCAGTGTACATAAACTTTACATGTATGTGGAGTGTGGGCGTGTGTAAATCCTGTTCTGGCATGCTGCAAATTTAAAACTTGTACCAAAACCATGGGATTTTTTCCCTCTGTTCATCAGTGTGAAATTAGACTCTCAATCAGTGTTTTTACACATGCTTACATACTTTATTCTAACTAAAACTACATTCAAGGTATTTGTGCAGGGGAAGTGTTTGTACATGTCTACTTTCTTACACATCTACCCTCTAGGAAACTTCAGCAGAATGCAGTCCCCTGAATTTTCTCTGAGTCTTCTGTTGCTCTAAATTCACCACAATTTCCAGAGTAACGCCTGTATTCTTCCTAAAACTGAGGACTAAGACGCTGAATTAAAACAACTATTAAGCAAAGATTAAAAACGAGTGAGAAATTACTCTTTACAATGCCGTTCTCGATGGCTTTCTGGTGCCATCTAGTGTAGAGCTGTCCTATTGCTATGTGAAGCTGAGCCAGTGTTTTCAAATCCTGAAAAGAGGATAAAGGCACAAAAGGGGAATTTTTTGTTTCATTTAAACTTAGCCTAGACTTTCACATTTTTTTAAGTATATAGGTGTTTATCCTAAGACAAGAATACACAATTTATAAATGTCCTTTTCCTTTTGAATGATACTGGGCTTTCACTAGGAGAGTTCATGCAGCAGATCTATTTACCCATCCATAGTCTTGAGCCTGTGATGTCTTACACTAAGATATGAAACTGTTTAATGAAAATATTTTATGGAACTATGAAATTCTTAAATGAAAATATTCTTTTCAAAATTTGTGCATTTTGTTAAATGCTCTGCAGGGTTGGGTTTTTTTTTAAGCTCTTTTAGAAAATTAACTGCATAAGTATCCAGATCTTAAGAGAGTTTATGTATGCAACAGTTATGTTATTTAAGTACAGTTTGTAATTTCCTGGGTTTTTTTTTCATCAGTATTTTCCCTTTTATGTTATAGATTTTCTTGTTTATAAACTAGAAGCACAGGAAACGCTAAATAAAGGAAGGGTAAGCCATCATTCCCAGTACAAGTTTTTAATAGTTGATGCTACTTGAGTTGCAAGAAAAAGAGAATGCTTTGCAATTTTAACTCATCAAAGGAAAAGGTCTTACAAAATACTAATTGAAGGAGCTCTGGCTTCTAATCTGCTTGTCTAAGTGCTCTGCAGTTCCTGATTATTTGAGCTGTAGTAGGAAATACTAATATTTTTTTCAGAAAATTAATTTAGAAAATATCTTCCTGTTTATATATGGTAGTTCAAACATAATTTTACTATTTTTAAGAGGAAGAAAGAATAAGAAGGCACTGGAAATCTTTTTGTAGCTTAGTCCACAGTGACAACTTTCTAATGCATGGTCTTTTAACTGCAAAGTATAAAAATGTCAAGAAACTTTGTTTTATATACCAAATGCTGGAATGAAAGCTGTGTCTGGCAAAAGACGCAGAAACCTGTAGAGAACTCCTTATAAAAGCGAGTAAATTAGGATTTTATGACTACTATCTGTAGAAACTGAGGAGCAGTTTGTGAGCTGAGTAATCCAAGTTAAAAAACATTGCTGCTGCAGTAAGTGCAAAGTGTATGTTCTTGCAATGTTCCAAAGCAAGTGGAGAGATTTGTTTCCTGGGGAGTTAGGTCCTTTGGCTTGTGACTCCTAAATAACTGCATGTAGAGAGGTTAGAGGAATGATGGTATTACTCTGTTTAACACTATTGTTTTCGTTTTACAGCAAGACTCAAATAGCCGGTACAGTGCACTGAGTGTACAACACCAGATGTTGAAGGTAGGTAGCTGACATAGCCGGTTTCATAGGACACAGCTCTTCTGCTACATCAGGGAGATACGGCCTCGCTGGCTGCTGGTAGTTCGTTCTAGAGTGTCAGTCCATTGATGGTGCTTTCCTCTTACAACAGTACTGTTAAAAGATGATTTACTACAGTTTTTCTTAGTCAGGCTTTTCAGTGGGTAATTTAATCTTACAGAGTGCGTTACTTGTATGGAATCCTGACTTCTCAGACTTTACATAGTTTGGCATGTAAGGCATTTCTTACACACATTCAGCAGCTCCCAGTGAGACAGTGCAACAGCAAGGTGAGGTGATGCAGCCCTAGAACTGACTACTCATTGCAGAGATCATTTTGTGTTTGAAAGGAGCTGCGATATACATGCTTTGAATAATAAACTTCTTCTTATGAATGCTTCCTATTCATCTGGACTTACTTAACAAATTGCCAAAGACAATATTAGCTAGATATGCAGATACAGTACTGTTCCAGTGTCCCAACTTGGTATTTGCAGAGTCAACATGAAGAACTAAAGAAACAGCATGCTGACCTTGAGGAAGATCACCGAAAGCAAGGAGAAGAGTTTAGCAGAACATTCAGTGATCACAAGGAGCGATACTTACAACTGCAGCAGGAAAAAGAGCAGGAGATCTCTAAGCTGAAGGGTAAAACTAACCTGTGTCTGGCCACCCATATTAAAATGTGTATTTGTCATTGTGTTTTGTGTGATGTGAGACAGAAGGACATTTTCTCTGTTCTTGCTAACAGGTTATTATGCATCTTATGCCTCCTGATAAGCTACATTTTACTGATGATTTTCTGGGGCCTGTTTCTGAAATGTATTCATATGTGTGCTTCGTGTTTCTATCTATATTAGAGAAACAGTAGGAAACACAGCAGGTAAAAGCCCATCAAGTGTCACAGGCTGGTTTATCCAGTTTCTCATTTTTAGTTCTAAGACTTGTGTAAACCTGGAAAATAGGTTTGCCTCTTTACTCTTTTTTTTGTAATTCAAAGGCAATGGATAAATATTTGCCACTTCAATCAGAGATTTAATTGTGCCTCTTTATGAAGTGACTTTATATACTTTTTAGACCTCATTTTATGTATATATCAGCTTCTATGAAACATGTTGCACTATACTTAGGTGATGAAACTCATTTATTTTTACTCTTGATATCCAGTTTCTTATTAAAGAGGTTCTTTGCAGTTCACAGGCCTCTTCCACCCTAATTACACAATTGCATAGAACAAAAGGATGGGTTTTCCCTGTGAAGGGCCTTCAGCTGCTTTCTGCCATGTGTCACTAACATATGAGTTAGTTTTGGAGCTCTCTGCAGTTTTGTCTGCACAGTATTTTGCAGGCAGAGGCTGTGTTTGTTAGTTCTGCCTTGGCACCATACCAGTGAAGTCATACAGCTAGCTCTCGGACTGAGCTGGATTGCAGCCTACTAGCTTGGAGTGTGGGAAGAGCTTGCCTTTGTCTGCTTGCAATATTCTACATCAACATAATGTAAGAACTGGGAAGAGAAGTCCCTCTCCCTTGTCCCAGAATGTAAAGCTTTTTTAGTATGCTGGCCATCTGGACACCTCTTCCAAAAGAATAGCTTAGTCCTATGACATGAAATTCTCACTCGCCAGATGCAATGTGGGGGAAGAGAGGAGGGTGGCTTCCTCTCTGCCCTTTAAAGATTCACATTACCATAATGAATTTTGCTGTCTGCAGTCCCCAGTGTGAACAGTGATGCATAATTCCAGCTGCAGACTGGATGCACTAACATAAAATTTAAACAATTTTTTACAGTTTTATGCTTGAAAATATAAAGCGTTTTATAGGCTCGTTTATATATATATATGATTTTTATATATATGGTTTACTTTATAATGTGTGTTTATTTTATATGTGTGGCATTTTACGTAGTTTGTGTTATAGTCTTAATTTTGATGCTTAATTTAGTAGTATAAATCTGACTGGGTTTAAATTCTGTATGTCATTTCTTTTAAACAGAATCCCTTTATAACTTACGAGAGGAGAACAGACAGTTGAGAAAAGCTCACCAAGACATTCACACCCAGCTACAAGATGTCAAGGTAGGCTTTGCTTTGAGAAGAACTTTAAAGACCATTATGAAACTGAGAAATTTTCTGAAGTTCTAACAAGCCAGAAATGGGCCATGCTGAATTCTTGTTATTTCTGTTACTTGGCAAAAAGGAGAGAAATATGGCTGAATTGGATTTCTTGTCTTTTGCCACTTGCACTTAAGGTACATGCTCATTTAAAGACCGCAAAACTGTGTGTGTGTGTGTGTGTGTGTGTGTGTGTGTGTGTGTGTGAAGGGACAAGTATTCAGTATAGAAATTGGAAATTTGTTTTTGCAAGTTAAAAATTGTGTTCTGACAAACTAAGTTTGCTGAAATTTATGTTTTCCAGTTTGTTTTTTTTCTTAAACTGTTCATCAACAGCTACTCCAACTTTTAACTTTATTTCAGTTATGCAAATCCTGGCCTCCAAGTTTTCTTTCTTGGTGTGCTTGCTTTCTCTGTTTAATTATGTATTCCATGTTAAATAAATGCTGTCATTCCAACTCAGGATTTTCTTTTCTAAATAAATTGAATTACCTTCCTAGTTCAAAATCCCCCAGACTACCTAATTTACCTTTAGAATGAACTTTATGTGAAACATGTAATGTTCTTCTTTTTATGTAGCAACAGCATAAGAACTTACTCTCCCAACACAACCAACTTGTAGTGACATTGGAAGACCACAAGAGTGCACTAGCTGCTGCACAGGTCAGAAAGGAAAGCAGCTTCTACTAGCTCTAACCTTCCTAAAACTTCTTTCTTCTAGTTCAGCTGACTGTAATGTTATGCATGTAGCCTTTCGCATGGGGAATCTGCAGCCAGCACCATGCTGCACACTGTAGGGAAATGCATGACTTAAAGGGTTGCTCTTAAGAATAAGCTGCAACAAATCATAGGGCTGTCAGAAAATAAAAACCTGTGTTATAGGCCCAGAGTGCATGCATTACTGATTAAAAAAAAAAAAAGTATCTGTGCTTCACTGAGAGCTGTCAGATATCTTCCTTTCTCTGTCTTCTCTGATAGAACTTCTGTTAGTTTAACATCCCACACACTGACATTCACATGTATCCCTTATAAAGACCTGGATGCTGGTATACTATAAAGTCTCTTTTTGTGTAGACTGGAAGGTTTATAACGCTATGTATAAACCATGTATATATATACATCAGTGCAGCAGAAGTAGATATGGAGGAATGTAAACTCCAGGTGGAACCCAAAACAGTTTAAAACAAGGAGCAATATTACCTTTCTTAAATGTCATTTTCAAGTGAACTATCCATGAAGCACAAGCTTTAGTAGGCTACTGCAAATTTAGTCAGCTGTGCTACTACAAGCTGCGTAGGCCACAGGGAATCTGAAAGTAGGAATAATGTTGGAGCAGAGGAAGACTTTTGGTGAAAGACTGGAGGGAAAGGCAATGAGGCAGTGTGACGTTATTTTTATTCCTGACTAATTTTCCTCATTTAAGTATTTTCATAGTCCACAAAATCATTCACAGCATTAAAACATTGGCTCTTCCCCCCACCCCGTTTTCTTTGTTGTGCATGTCAATATGTGTAGATATAAAAAAAAACAGGGAAAGACCAGGAAAGTCCCTCATAGAGTAAGTATATGAAGAATCATAATTTCCACTACTAAAATATGCTGGAAGCTAATTTTAAACTCTTTTCCCACTGGACACGTTAGATACTTGGTATGTGTCTGCTAACATCTGAAATTCCACAAGGGCAGATGCAGGGTCTGATTTAAGGTTCACCGAATCCAGAGGGAAGCTCTGTATACTTCTGGCTTTGATTCAGTTCTTTAATTAGAAAATCCATGTCACACAAAGCCTGTCTGCCATCAGAATGTGGCATTTAGAGCATGGAGAACCTTTTCTTAAGAAAAGATTGCACATTTTTTCACAACAGAAGATATTTAGCACAGTTGTATGGTTTCTCCTGTAAACCATCTATAAAAAGTTCAGAAAGGATTATTGCTTAGAAACACAGCTCAGTAAATGACCCCTCTATTTCTAAGTGTTTTCTAGACATTAAATATCAGTAGTCAATGCTGCACTAATGAATTTGTGACCTGAATCTTTAAGGTGTTATAATCTTTGTACTTTTCCATTGCTCAGACAGCAGACAGATTCATTATATATTTTTATAAACCCTGCCTTTCTGCCAGTATTAATGCCTTTTAAGCTATGGCCTTGAATTGCAATGTTCAGCTTAGTGACTCGTGCAGCAGAATGGAATACTTGAATTCTGATCTGAACATGCACTGTTTAAATATCCCAGCTCATTATCCTCTCTGCATAGTCAGTGAGTGGGGGGAAACAAATAATCAGAGTAAGTATGTCTTATTTTAGTAAGTTAGTCTTAATGTTAAGTAAATATTATTTTTTTCCTCTAAAATTTCTTATTGGACTCTCCAGCAATTAATCAGGAAGCAGAAGTATCCCTCTGGAATGACAAGAGTAATTACTTTGCATTCTGCTTTGCTTTTAGGCCCGTCTGTTTTAATGGATGCCATAGTCTTTTGAAGATGCTTTGAGGTGCGTCTAGCTTTGGAGCTGTTACGCATTGCATCATGTCAATCTGTAGCACTGTGGATATTGTTTTGTATGAGTATTATGCATTGTACATCAATGCATCATGCCTGTCTGCTGTACTATTGATTGCTATGATATCACATAACACAACACACAAAATGACATACACAGTCACTGAGTGGAACCTGTAGCCAGGTTTTAACCTGAATTTTTAACAGGATTATGAAATGCACCTCTGCCTTCAGAATGGGTAGTAAATATAGCCACTACCTCCATGGAAACAACAAAGAAACCCACCTTTTGTATATGCAGCTGGTCATCTCAAAAATCTTCCTTTACAAGATCATGTTTCTTGTACCTCTGCTGTATAGACAGGGACTGGTGCATCAGCCAGCCTGGATTCTTATACTGGACCTTAAAGCATTTTAAGAATACCCTCATCTCGTACGAAGTTAAACAGCAAATCAAATTATAACATTTTACTGTTGCATTTCAGGAAGACGTTAGAAATTTACTTTTTTTTCTCTTCTTTTTCCTTTTTTTCTGCTATTTTTCCTTTTCGCCGCCAGTGTACTGACTTTCTTTGCCTCAATTCTATATGTTGGCTGTTGTCTTGTGTAACACCTGTCTAAATGTTGAGGATTTGGCATTTTCATTACATGTATATATACTTACTTTAAGACTGCTTGTTTCTGAAAGAGCTGCACTTCTTTCTGCCTCAAAGAAGCTGTGTTCTCAGTTGCCTTCACTTTAGTCTGCCAGGAAAAGTGCATCATCTCTTTTAGATAATTCTGCTGCTTGGCATGAATAAAACAAGTTGTTGTCTTTGTCCCACAGAGATTTTTCTAATACACTTTGTGTGCATGTGCACTTTGGCTGAAAAGATTGTGATCAGTGTTACCTAGCGTGTGGAAATGACCAATTTTAAAAGCTCCCATCTCTTCTCCCTAGTATTTGCTCTCATGTGAATATCGAGTCTTTCTGCCACATGTCTTGCCAGCGAGTTTATTCCAAGGTGACTATATTTTATTAAGAAACTAATTTTGACACCCTCTAATGTGCTGACTTTAGTCCCAGGTGGAGGAATACAAACAGTTGAAGGACACACTCAACAAAATACCAAGTTTCCGACAGCCTGAGAAGTTAGAACAACCAAATGATCAACCAGAGGTGCGAGTGCCATCTCCCAGCAGTGACCTCCCAAGGCACCATGAAGCTGCGACTGAAGAGCAGGAGGTATAAAGTACTGACTGGCTACTGACCCTATAGGAAGTGATTCTTATTCAGCAAAATACTAGCTATGTGCTTAATGACTATTAGAAACTTATATTTAATTGTACAAATTAGTCATTTCTTGAGTAAAGTAGTAAGGAGCAGTTTAATCTTAATGAGTGAGAGAAAAATATTTTTATAATGTTTTCTCACATGGCTGTAAATGCACTTAAAACTGGCTTATGTAGCTGTTTTAAGTTGCTAAAATCTTATTTTTTTGAATAAGCAGTCTGTAAGACTTCAGCTATCTCATGTTACAGAAGAGCTTTAGCAGGTTCTGAAGAAATTGACTTTGTGAGTTTTGTGAAATTTCAGGGGCACACTTAAAGTCATTATGTTTAAAATGGGCACATTGTCCACTGTTCAAAAAGATAAACAGCAAAGTTGTGGGTAAAGTCTAAAAGTTACCAAATCAGTTGTGGTTTTGTTTCACAAGACTTCTTGGCCAGCAGAACCTATTTCGGGAAACGAAAATACAAAGCTTCCCTTGTAGACACAGAATTGTAAGAGGTTTTGTTCCACTTCAGATAAAAGGAGGCTTGACCTACTTTATGACACAGTTATGCAACACCTTGTGTAGCTGTGCAGAGCTGAGAATAGCATGTGGCAGGATGGGTAGCTTGTTCCAAATCAGGCATTTGGCTACCCTGAAGACAGGTTTGTGCTACTGCAGTCTGGACTAAAGGCATTGCTCTCTGGTCCTTGGCTCTCATGAAAATATGAAATCCATATTCTATGCACACATAATTGTGTGTATGTTTTACAGAATGAGAAGCCACATGAGAGAGAAGAAATAAATACCCAGGAAAAAGATGACAGAGTTGAGCCTTTTCATCTGCAAAGAAGGCCTAATGAGGGCCAGCATGCCAAAGAACTAAATACTCAGGAGCAACAAGAAGCTGGAGAGGGTGATGAGCGACATGTTGATCAAGTTGAAGAGGAACGCAAAAAAGAACTTGAAGAAGAAGAAATGGAGCAGGCAGGTCAGCCGGAGCACTTAGAGGAGGAACAGGATCAGGTTCCAGAAGAGCATGAATGGAAAAAACAGGAACAGAAAGAAGAGGAAACTAACATGTTGGGTGATCATGTTCATTCAGAGGTACGGAGCTCTTGGATTAGACTTGCTGTTTAAATGGAGGCATCTCTTATGATTGCAGTTGCCTGTTTCTAGGTAAAAAGCAGTGTCATATTTACAGAAAGTTTGGGCTTCAGAGCACATCTTGGTTTTTAGATAAAATTGTCATATTTGTAGAAAATTTGGGATTCAAAGCACTTGTATGCATAGGATTCAGGCTCAACTTCAGCACACATATACTGCAGTGCTGTCCAAATGCAGCTTAGTTAACATTAATTCTGCTGATAAAAAGTAACAGATGGGAAAAAAAGGAGCAGTCAGGTTGAATTCCATCTCCTCCTTTAAATTTGAGGCCTGTGGTAGCTGATGGGGAAGAAGATAGCTAATGACGAGGCTTAACTTCATGACTTTGATAGAGAGCTGTCCTGCCTTACTAATTTGATGCATCTTGGCAAATTGCAACTTGTTTCCTTGTCAGATATGCCTACCTTCTGTAAATACCTTTCCATCTAAATGTTTGTTGTTGTTTGACAGGAAATTTTAACTTCAAGATGAACATGACTAAAATAGCCAGGGGAAATCAGTGCACAGCAGTGGCAAGTCTTGCTTTTTGCAGCTCTAAATAAAGCCAGCAAATCCTGGGTTTACATTGCAGATGCATCTCCTCCAGTGGAAAATACATTTTACTGATCTCACCTTAGGCTTTGTTAATACTCACCTAGCAGAATAACTGTGTGACTCCAGTGTGATGAGAAGCTATTGTTGAATAGCACAGCTACACGTTGGGCAAAGAAGAGATTCAGAGCAGCCCTGTGGAGGAGGAGTTGGGGGTGCTGGTCAATGAGAAAATGAGCATGAGGAGGCAGTGTGCGCTCGCAGCCCAGAAAGCCAACCATATCCTGGGCTGCATCAAAAGGAGCATGACCAGCAGGTCGAAGGAGGTGATCCTGCCCCTCTACTCTACTCTCATGAGACCTCACCTGGAGTATTGTGTGCAGTTCTGGTGTCCTCAACATAAAAAGGACATGGAACTGTTGGAACAAGTCCAGAGGAGGGCCACGAGGATGATCAGGGGACTGGAGCACCTCCCTTATGAAGACAGGCTGAGGAAGTTGGGGCTGTTCAGCCTGGAGAAGAGAAGGCTGCGTGGAGACCTCATAGCAGCCTTCCAGTATCTGAAGGGGGCCTATAGGGATGCTGGGGAGGAACTCTTCATTAGGGACTGTAGTGACAGGACAAGGGGTGACGGGTTTAAACTTAAACAGGGGATGTTTAGATTGGATATAAGGAGGAAATTCTTTCCTGTTAGGGTGGTGAGGCACTGGAATAGGTTGCCCAGGGACGTTGTGAATGCTCCATCCCTGGAGGTGTTCAAGAGCAGGTTGGACGAAGCCTTGGGTGATATGGTTTAGTGTGAGGTGTCCCTGCCCATGGCAGGGGGGTTGATCTTAAGGTCCTTTCCAACCCTAACTGTTCTATGATTCTAAGAGACGCAGTGGATTAGAACACTCACAACAAGTTAAGCTGTGAAACTGGAGTTAAAATTACTGCTGACTGTAGAAAATGGCTCAGAGAAACCCTATTTGCTGTCTTAATTCCCAGCCATCAAAATTTACTGGCAATATGTTGGGTTAGTTATTATTTTGATGTGTAAGAAAAGGCTGGCTGCCCCCAGCCCACCATCTCCTCTTCCTTCCCCATGTCCTCCACAAATACCCCAGCACTTTCAGTTTATGTTCAAAAAACTAATTAAGCAGTGACAATAAAACTTAAAATAACTTTGATGTAATTTTGCCTATCGCATATTGCGTCTTCGTATTTTTTTCCCTCCTGACAGGCTTCTGCATGCTTGTTTCTGATCAGTGAAATTATGATTAATCTATGACTAACGTGTCTTTGACAGGTAACATCATTGAAAGCTGTAACAAATAGACATAAACCAGCTTATGAACAGCAACTACAGCAGCAACATCTTGCAGCCAAGAGGGCTGAGGAGGCCAGTGAGCTACGAGAATATCAGGAATCACTACACCAGCAAAGACTGCGAGGACAGCTGTTACAGCATCAACAGCTTCAAGAGAGAGAGCTTCAACTGCAAAAACAGGCAGAACAAGGAGAGAAACTCTATAAAAGCCGTCTAAGGTTAAATTCTTTTACATAAGTTTGTCATGGTCTGTGGTCTAGGTTTTATGGCATCCGCCATACCACCTTTTGAAAAGAGTGTGGTTTAATGCTATAAACCTAGACTACCCAGAAATTAAGTTCAGTGAGCCTCATCTCCTTTCCAAGGATAAATCTGATAGCTATTCTAAGGTTTTTCCTTCCTGTTTTCTTCCTTCCACTGTGGAAGCCTGTGAAGTCTGGAGTGCATATTGCCCTGCACATCCTTGGGAGAAGTTAGGAGCTTCTGGCTTACAATGCCCCTTGTCTTAAAGCTTGCTTTAAATAAGTAATTATTTTCCACTAAGCAGCAGTTATGATCTGGTAGTACTAGGAGCTCCAATATCAGATATTCGTTTACCTAAGCTAAAGTTCCTCTTAAGCGTGAGACACTGTTTTTAAGTAATTCCACTAGGACTTTCTGGACAAGAGTGACTAATATTATTTGCGTTGTAAAGACAGAAGCATGATTTCAGGAGAAACCAACATCCTGCTAATGTCAAAGTTACTGTGATTGCAGTTATATTCATTGTATTGTATCTTCTGCATGCCTTTCACCCTCTCTGTCATGCTTCCTTATGCTTCTGCTTATTTTAAAATTGTTAGTGACACGTTTTTGTCTTTTTGAATATTAAGCCCATTTTCTTTGCTGAAACACTGAAACATTAACTTGACCTGTGTTCTAAAAGGATTTTGGTATGAGAAACCCTTTTTTAAATTGATAGTCAAAATATTCAGTCCTGCAAGAACAATCACACAAGTAAATCCCTTTCAAGATGAAAGCTAAAACTGCTTATTCATCAAATTAACCAATTGTGTAGTCTGTCTTTAAGACCCTTTATCTGAGAGGGGTCCAGTTCATAGTATTGATACTTTAATTATGGAATATACTACCTTAGGAGTTTTACAAATGCAAAGCAGATCCCATCAGTCTATAGAATTGCAGAATAGTTTGGGTTGGAAGGGACCTTTAAAGCTCATCTACTCCAATCCCCTGCAGTGAGCTTGGGCATCTTCAACTAGATTGGGTTGCTCACAGCCCTGTCCAGCGTGGCCTTGAATGTTTCCAGGGATGGGGCATCTACCTCCTCTCTGGGCCACCTGTGCCAGTGTTTTCACCACCCTCATCATAAAAAAAATTTCTTCCTTATATCTGGTCTGAATATCCCCTCTTAGTGTAAAACCATACCCCTTGTCATAGCATAACAGGCCATGATAAAAAGTTGTGCCCATCTTTCTTGTAAGTCCCCGTTAAGTGCTGAAAGGCCACAATAAGGTCTTCATGGTACTCATTCTGGCAGGAGTTGGGAAAGATAGAGATTCAGTAGGACAGTGTGTTTATTAAAGCAGAAACACACATTTTGAAACTGAAATGATGTATTGGCATTGAATTTTCTCAGCCAACAGGCTCATTATGATAATGTGGACCACGATATTGTACAGGGGGAAGAAGAGCAAGGTATTCAGGAAGAGGAAGGAGGTAAGATAAAACTTAGTCCCTAGCATATTCAGAGGTTCCCTGTGTACTGTCATTCATGCAAGATTGTAATACTCATTTCATGTCCAGTTTGGATTCAAGTGAAATACAAACATGCAATTTAAAACCAGTAGCCCATATAACACTGGGTGAGCTGATTGAGTGAAGTACAGGAATTACTAAAGATCATATCCATATTCCTGAAAACAGAAGTGTCCTTTTGATTGAGCTACTAGGATGGGCTCTGCCTATGATTTTGTTTGATCCCTTCAAATTATATACTGTTTTAGTGCCAAGTTTCCTACTAGCAGTAAACCAATTCTGTTAGAATTACATGTTTAGGTAAACTTTTTAGGTAAAAGCTACCTACTCTTAAAAGCACATGTGGAAGTTGGTATATAGGAGGCTTTTAGAAAGGCTAACCAGAAACTGCTGTAATACAATAATAACATAAAAAATTTGTCAGCTTATGAACGTGACAACCAGCACCAGGATGAAGGTGAAGATGATGATCAAAATAATGCAAATGAACAGCAAGAACCAGAACATCAAGTAGAAAATCAGCAGGCTGATCAATCAGTGAGTATGAATTAAGATGCTATGGATTGCAGTCATTACTGGAGTGAAAAACCAGAAGTCTCATTTAACATAATTGTGCATTACAGAAATAAAATGAAGTGCAGATCTGGTAGGAAGATATCTAAGGTCTATTTAAAGTTGTCCTTATTGATTTGGGCAGAAATAAAAAAAAAAAGAGTGCTTCCTTGTTCAAAGCAAGTTGCTTCTTTTTCTACATGCCTTTGATCTGTACTTTACATGGAATAAAGGATTTGGACTTAGCTGGGACTTGAACAGCTAAACTTAAAAAGAATGGTCAGTCAGAATGGTGATGGTATTTTTCATGCTATCATTAGTTGCCAAGGTAAGAGCCAACTCAGTAGCCGCGGAAACCAGCTGAAGTCAGTACAGAAGTGTGAGATCTTGCAAGAAGATGTACCTCAGCACTGGACACAACTGTCATACCAACTGTACGGAGATCTGGATACAGAAGATTGCAGTCCTGTATCATCCCATAAATTCTACCTTATTTGGTGGTGTGGAACATGAAGCATATCATCTTTATTCCCCCCCCCCAGCAAATTAAATTGTTTAGTATTTCTAAGGCATCTTTTACTTGTCAGCTATAAAGATATCAGAACTACTTTTACTGAATGGTAAGCAGAAAAAATACGTTTTCTGAAGGGCAGCATGTGATGAAAAGCGAGTATTGTTTTCTCTTGTTTTATTATAGACATAGACAAGGTCAATATTGCAGGGCAGGCTCCTACTGAAAGATCACATCAGCTCTTTTGAGCCATGTGTATTTCAGCTCTTACCTTCTTTCACCTGCTCTTATCAGGCATTGTCACTTGTCATATAGTCAGTGAACAAAAGTAGTTTAACAGCCTCTGTGAAATAAGTCATCAGATTCAATTAGGTTTTTAGCAGACACATACCCATGCTGCAGTTCTGTCTGTGTTCCGCGCTGAGGTACCTTTCCTTTCAGGAACTGATGCTTCTGTATTGGCTACGGCTTAATCTAGTGAACCCTGATGCCTGTAAGAAGATTCCAGGTGGTTTCAGTGGGCATGGAGTTGGCTCTAATGTAGCTTGTGCTAAGGTAGCTTTTATGTGAAATTGAATTTGACTGTGAGGTGAAAATACGTATTTAATATTAATTTCTGAAAATTACAGAAGGCAGCCATGGAAGATGTGAATCCTGCTGATGACCCCAACAATCAGGGAGAAGATGAATTTGAAGAAGCTGAGCAAGAGAGAGAAGAAAATGTACCAAATGAAAATGAAGAGCACAGGCAAACCAGTCAGAAACAAGAACATCCAGGAATGGAAGAGCACCTGGTGGTCAGTAAAGGGAAAGGACCCCTGTATTTACCTTCAGACAAGCCCCTGCGAGAGCCCTCATTCATACAATTGTCATGTTTTTGCACAAATCCTTTGTACACTACTTCCATGCCATCACACTCAGTTGACTGTGAGCAGTGATGCCACTTTTCTTTTCTACCGCCATTCCAGTGAACGCTGCGCATTTCAACTGCTTTTATACTGTAAACTCCTCTAGGCAGAGATAATCTGTATTTTTATGGCATTAGTCTTTAGTCGTGTGAATATTTCATTGTCTTCCTGCTTAATATGGAAAGTCTTGCTTTATTCTGTGAAGTGATTTCTATTATAATCATTCTTCTTTCTACTTTTTAATTTAGGGCAGTTCTAAATCATGTAGCTGGGCTATCATTAATGCTAATGAATGCGCTATAACTTCTTACACTATTATTGTTACTTTAGCTTTTCACAAAGTTTCATTTCCAGAACAAGAAGCTTTAACCTTCAGTCTTCTAAAAGTTAATAGGCATGCACAGAGAACTCAATTTTTATATGATCTTTCTGCAGATGGCAGGAAATCCTGACCAGCAGGAAGATAATGTGGATGAGCAATACCAGGAGGAGGGAGAAGAGGAGGTAAGAAAACAGACATAAAGTATATGTGGATTCAGGTCAGAGCACATCTCCATTAACATTCAACACTGGTATCTTTTATAACTGCAAGATGAATCCAAATTGCTTTGTCTGACTAAGAACCTGGGCAGTCTTTGCCATTACTTTGCTGACCACTTCTGGACACGTTTAGTGTTACTCATGCTTATATGCTACAATCCATTAGTCTTCCATGCAACATGGTATTAATTGTGCAATAATTAATAAGATGAAGCCATTCATAGCACAAGGTGAAATTGCTGAAAACCTCAAGCCTTCTCTGAAGGTCACTGAAACCTCATTAAATTTGCGTCTCCAGTCACACACTTGTTCTGGGCAAACTACTTCCTTGGCCAGTTACTCTTTAGCTCTGGCTTTGATTTATCTGTGCTCCTCCCAAGCAATCCAAGTTATGTAAGCCCCCACCGGTCAATGGGGTGGGTAGGGAGGCTGTCAGCACTGTTGCTTGAACTGGAGGAGAAAAGGAAAGGACTTTTTCCTCGGTATGTTGAATGGCATGCTTGTTATGCATGCATTAGCATAAGCCTCCCTTCAGTCCTTCAGTACATACTTAATTGCTGTTTTCTTTTAAAGAAAATTAAAAATACACAGATTATTCCTGTGCTTCATAGATACAGGAAGATTTGACTGAAGAGAAGAAAAGACAACTGGAACGCAATGCCGAAGAGCCATATGGCGAAAACGACGAAAATGTAAGTACTCTGTAAACCCCCAAACTCTGTGACATGACTAAACACTTATTATAACTGTGATCATCTCACAGTGACATTATATAGTAATCATTGTAGCTTGCTTTAGATCATAGACTTTAATATTTCGTGCTGTCCCAACTTCCTTTTGCTCATCCTTCCACCCGCACATCTGTTCTTGCTGCCTGGAAGCCTTTGAAAATCTTTTCCTCTTTCTGTCCATCAGCTCTGACAGCTCCACTGATAGTCATTTCTCCCTTTCCTTAACTTCATCTCATTGCCTAAAATACATTTTAAGGAACTATAAGGCAGTAGTACTGAATCTGGTTTGGGGTTGTTTGTCTGTGTGTTTGTTCCTGCCCCCCCCAATCAGGTGGATGAAAAGAATAACAGAGGGGCAGATCAAGAGCAAGAAATCCAAGAAAACAACCGGAAAGAAGTTCATGAAGAAAATTATGAGGAGGAGGAGGAGGAAGGCAGAGCTGTTGCAGCAAAAACTCATAGACGAGGGGAGATGTAGTCTCCCTTTTTTCAGCATTCAAAGCCCTGGTTTTGTTGTTTTGTTTTTTAAAAGCCGACAACTTTTTTAGGATATTTAATTTCCAAAAAAAGTTTGTTTTACACTTTTTACTTTTCTATTAGATGCTCTCATATGTTTGTATGAATATGGTATTTTGATACTCTAGATTAGGATTTCTTTTCTATTAAAGCTGTACATAAACAGCCATCATATAGGTTAAATTCTTGTAATTCTGGGCATGTTTTATGAAGGCCATTTTGGAATACACTTTCACCTTGTCCAAGCCTGAGACATTTGGTCTCATTTCAGACACATTCAACACCTGAGGGAATATCTCTAGTGCCTACACCCAGTTGCCATTAGTCATTCCAGCTCTCCTTGTCTTCCATGACACAACTTCTGTGACAATCTGTGGTGCTTGTAGGGGCTCTGGGGTATTTCCATTCATTAGAATCGCATGAGATTCTTCAAATCTTTGAAGTTAAGCACATGCCTAGCTCATTTAGAACTAGGCCTTTTATAGGTGCAGAACACTTACAAAATATGCAAGTTCTACAAACCTTCAAAATGCAGCCAGGTTAACAGCTGTTAATTTTGGCAGCTGTTTATATACAGATAAATTATGCATTTATTTTAATGAGCATACCTAGGTACTGCAATTACATGCATTACATAGCAGATAATCCAAGTGGTGGTATGCTGAGATGTGAACTAGAAACCAATTTAGACTTGAAGAGCCATTATGCCAAATCAAAACACTACAGCTGTCACGTGAATGAAGATTTACAGAAGGAACAATTTTGTTCTCCTAGTATTAAAATATTTGACCAGAGAAATATAATTGCATCACCTCGGTGACATGCCTGCTGGAGACTGGAGAGAAGGTTAAGGGGTGGTGACCAAATTGCTGTGATTGGTGCAAGATGTTGAACTAAGGCTTTTAGCTCCTTTTACTTATTTATTTTTAAGTCTATGCTGGAGGGGTTCCTGCATCCCCGAGTGTGAAAATAGCTGAGAGACAAATACCATGGAATCTTTTTAAAAAGTGAACATCGCTAGTACCACATGCCAAAATGGGGGGGGGGGGGGGAATGACACAAAACCTGTGCCTTGGTAGGCTACTATGAATATAATCACAGTGCACGAGTAGATACAGTGTTTGTATTGGTACAAACCCTTGTTATTTAATGTATGTTAAAAGGAGATCGGGAATCTGTATCTCCCAGGCCCTGCCCCATTGCTGGAAATGAGGCGCACGGTAGCTTCCCATCAAAGTGTGTGATAATATATAAAAGAAGAGGGTTTATGATTTTCCCTTGTTTAATAATGATGCATAGCAGTGGTTTTAGTTTAACTTCTAATATGAATGTAATTTAATTCATTTTTCTACTAACTGAATTATATTATGTTTTATAATTGGTTTCTGTTCTTTGCAGTTTTCCTAAGTGTCCCAGACACAGTGCTTACATTTCATGGGAAGATTTTTGTCAGCAAGTATTTTGGGGTTTTAAGCTACCATAAATCAAATTTATGTATAAAAAAAAGTTTACATGATACTGTAAAATGTATAATATGTACATAATCTTCAGAATACAATTATTTTGGTAATTTGGCCTGTATTTTTAATGTCATGGTTGTGGTATTTAATTATTTGAAGCATAATAAAACTTAAATGCATTAGAATGTAGTTACTGATCTTTCACACGTGTGATGGTTTGGTTTAGTTTGTTAACAAAGCCCAGCAGAGAAACAGGAGGGAGCCGCAACAGCATTTTTGGCAAGGAGAAGCAGGGTTGGAACCAACAGTAATGGCAGCTTTTGCCTTCTGTAGATGTACTCTTTCAGTAGTCGTTGCAATTGAAATCCTGCTTCAGCTAGAGCAGTAAAGCTTCTTGGCCTTTTGCATCAAGCAGATATGTGAGAAAGGTGGAGGGATGAAGGAAGGAGAGCCCAAGCCATTTCCACACATGGTTTTTCCCCCCTAACAGGACCAGTTATGCTCCCTTCTGCCGCCTCCATGGTGTGGGAAGCCATGCATGCTGTCTGGGTAGAGCTCAGTGGTGGCAGGAAGACAGCTTTTCTGCCCGCCCTGCCAGAGGGAAGAGACAGCCACTGAAGGTGTGGGCACATGCCACAGTACTGCCTTGTCGCAGTACCTTGCACTTGAAACGAGCTCTGCAAGCACTTACATTAGTGGGTACAGTATTGCCTGGGCAGATGTGGGGAACAGACTGCCTTGCACCACATTTACCGTGTGGAAAAAGCCACTTCCAAAGTCACCTACAGGGACGAAGTTATCTACCAGCACAGGTTCTTCACACCAAAATAAGCTCCTCCTTTTCTGCAATTGGCTACTGGTGCCATTGAGGTGTTCACATGTCCTGCCCAATATCCCTGGGCACACAGCATGTTTATTCATCAGCTTTGATGATGTCCCTTTATTGTCAGGCTGCAGGGCTTTGCTTGGGTAACTTGCAGCTCCAGCAAGAGTCCAGAGAGACAAATTACTGCCGAAACAGGAAGATGCAGAATAAGGCTTCTATTGTGTATTGTATGAGCCAGTATTCACAGCAGATGCTGTATTTACTACAGCAAGCATAACAAGTTCACATCTAATGTGATTAGGCCAAGAAAGTCCTAACAAAAGCCTGTTCTGCCCTTAGCCAAGGGCTTGTTCACTTCAAAAACGAGTTAGTTGACTGAAGATCAGCTTTCCGAGTAAGGCTTCAGGTGTGTTTGACAACAACCATGTATAATCTTAGTAACGTGCCCCAACAGCCACGCGAGCGACAGCTAAATCTGCTAAAATCTACTAAATGCCAGTAGGCTAAGTTAAGACTGGCTCTAACCCAAGCTGAAAAGGGAGTTAGATAGCTCTGCTTTACAGTGAACATTAGGAAAATTGCTTCAATTAGGAATGAGCACAGAGATACACTTGTCATTGAAGTACAAACTAGTTTGTCCTGGGTTCAGCAGTAGCAGTCATTTTTCTCCTTCTTGATAGCTGGTGCAGTGCTGTGTTTGGACTTCCAGCCTGGGAACAGTGCTGGTGATACTGATGTTTTCCCAGCACCACTCACTGGGAGTGAATGAACAAGTTGTCTGGCTAGGGTTTAAACCACAACATAGTTTCTGACAAATTTTATCCACTTTTGCCACAGAGCAGCAATTGCAGTCATTGACAAAAATGACCTTCACTCAGCTTCTCAAGGTTGAGCACATAAAATGTGTTTACTCTGTCTGTGCACAGAACTTCTTAGTCTGCTACATGCAGGGAAAATAATTTATATTGTTATAGCTAAAATACTAGCAGGGTAAAAGGAATGAGAAACCCAAAGCTGCATATCCAGAGCAAGAAAAAAAGTTATCTTCAGTACACTTGACACATCATCAGCCTTCAAACAGGTTTCCTTTCTCTTCCATAGCTCTTGGAACCGTTCTTTGCTGGTTCAAATGCAAAATTATACATCATTTCATAGACTCATGGAATGGTTTATGTTGGAAGAGACCATAAAGATCATCTATGTCCAACCCTCCTGCCATGGGCAGGGACACCTTCCACTAGACCAAGTTGCTCAAAGCCCCATCCAACCTGGCCTTGAACACTGCCAGGGATGGGGCAGCCACAGCCACGTCTGTTCCAGTGCCTCACCACTCTTGCAGGGAAGAACTTCTTCCTTATCTCTAATCTAAATCTACCCTCTGTCAGCTTAAAACTATTCCCCCTTTTCCTATCACTACATGCCCTTGTATTTTCGTATCACCATCACTTCTAAGGGGTCAGGTCACAATGGCCGATTTGGGAGAGACACAAGCCAAAGAGAGATAACAGCCAAGGGCTATAGTGAACCATGTTCACCACCACCTCCCATCCATAATCCTGACTCAACCCATGTTTCTGTAGATGGGATGCGCACATGACTAGGAGTCAGTCATCTTACTCCATAAAGAGTGGACAGCCCCCAGGCCCTTTGAAGCCTTCCTGCACACCAGAATCTCCCCTTGAGTAGGGTTTCACCACTAGTAAGTTCGCACAGTTTCTCCCTTGAAAGAGAGATTCTCCCAAATTTTACATTTGTCCAGGAGGTGCAATTAAGGCTGTAACTATGAATTGAAGTAGATAAGAAAGGTGAGCTTTAATGCAAGGTTAAACTTCATGGGTAATTTTATACACTGCCTTATGTAAAGGGAATAAAAAAGTCCTAGATGACATTTTGGAAAAGGCAGCATCCATAATCAATGAAGGAATGGTATCATTCACTGTTCATCAGAACGAAACGGCCAAAATTGTGTAAACGTGAGATTGTGAAATTAGTTCAGAGACTATTTGGGATCCATTATTCCACTGGTATCAGAGAGAACTGCAAGACCTGCAGTTTCTCCCTGACTTATAGAAAAAAACAAGCTCAATTTTTCCTAGCAGGAGCTGCAAAGTACCTTTCTAAAGCAGTAATTTTGGCAAATCAAAACCCAGATCAGCCAACACAAGATACTCCCGATTATAGAAGCCCTGACCTGTTTGCGTACAGGAGATACTGCACGTTGAAGGCAAACAGCCCTCTCGCATCACAGGGAGCCAGTGTTCTGGTCATTTATTGTGACAGGTGAGAAATGCGGTAGCTGCTATTAAGCTGAGATGGTTTACAATACTAAGCAGTGTCCTCACACACAAACAAATTCTACCTGGATTTGGCTTTATTAGTAGTTTCATACTGTACTGCCAAAAATTACAATCAGTATCTGGGAAGACATAGAAGGAATCGGAGTATTCATTTAAAAGTTGGAGCAGAGCACAAATGGGAGGTGGAATGCAGCCAGACACCTCGGTACACCTCAGAATGACCTATTAAAAGCACTAGTGGTGCCAATGAAAACGGCTGTATTTAAGTCAGGGCCTGTGCCAGGAAAATGGTATTAAAGAAAGATTAAAGGACTTTTCTATTTCACTACAGGAATAACCAACAGGTATTAGAAATGAACACATGCAAATGTCCACCACAGCAGCTACACCCCTGACAGCTTAAGAGTTGACCTCATGGCAAGTAGTGGACACCACAGATGTTTTATCAGCCACAAAGGACAAGCTTAATTCAGCACCAGCCATCATGCTGGAGCACTGCTGGGAGCCAGAGGATATGAACGGGACTGGAGGAGGTGGGCAGAAGCAGAATAGCTGGAGACATAGCCAGGGTTACTGTGCCAGAAAAGGCACAGGGAGCAA